CACCTGCTTGGACCAGATAGGCGATTACACCTGCAACACACACACACACACACACACACACACTCACACACACACAGTAATTTCAAGAGCCTCAAAATATGAAAATATTTATAATTCAACAAAACAAACAGGAAATATTAATAAACCATGAGTTGCTTATCAAAACCTCCTGAAAACACACTATGAAGGTCAGAGCTCTGCACATCTGCTGCAGGAAGCCCACAATAAAAAACAGTAAACTAAAATTAGTAACGTAAATTAACTAGATTCAGTTTTTTAAAAATGCTTACACACAGTTTTTGAAAACTCAGTTTCTCAAAACCACAAAACACACACACAACTCGCAAAACGCCACACATATCTTGCAAAAGCAAACATTTGATTCAAAACTGTTTTAACTCTTCTAAAAATTGTATTTTTGAGTAGTAACTCTACATACAAACTTAAAATAATTATCCACATGCACGCCAAAGTACACACAGATGTGAGGAATGTAAAAACACCCCTCTCTCGTGTGTGTTCTGCTTGTTCAGAGAGCACTCGCACACATACGCATATATACACATATACACTCTATATATGTACATGTATATATTATGTATGTACAACTGATGAATTGTACACAGTTATGGAACTGAGCAACAGCAAGCAAGCAAACAGCAACCTGAGTGACTGTGTGCATTGTTACTCTTTAGTAAATAATATCTTTGTGAATCAGTCAATGACTTTCATATGCAGACAGACAGAAAGCGGTCAGGCTCTCACCTTGTCATACATGCGGTTCAGGAGTCGAGGCACCACTGGAAATATGGTGGGCCGGAGAGCCTTCATATCATCCGGAAGCAGACGGATATCGCCTTGGAAAAAGCCAATCCTCCCGCCGTGGCAGATGACCACCGCCTAGAGTTCAGGAACAGCAGACTGTTAGTGATCAGAAATACTCAGAAATATTTGACTGTACTGACTGACAATATGAGACCAGAACAAGACTCAGACTGAGCTGATCTGAATAATGACACTATTGTCTTCTGCAGAGCTGCTTTACAGCTGAAATAAAAAAGGCTCATAATGGATGATTTCTGCAACATTAATACATATTAAATATCAATATTTTCCTGTTTATTACTGTGAACCCATGCGCTCTAGGAACATTTTGCTAACATTCCTATTAAGTTATAAAAATGTTACTTCAGAATATTTTTTAAATGTTTTAAACTGCGAGCGTTAGAGGATCATTCCATTCTATCACTTTGGAAATGTTATGAGAACGTTACATTTGAATGTTCTTTTGATGTTTAAATCACCAATTTCTTTATATTTTAAGAACGTTTCCTCTCAACATTACCAGAACATAAATCAAATATTAATAATGCTGTCAGAATGTTCCATAAACATTATTTTAAGTTTTGTCCTAATCTTTAAGAACCCTCCCTGTTAGCTGTGAAGCTGCTGTGAAAGAGTCTGGATTGTATAAAGCACTACAGAGAAATCCGTGACTTCACTATTCATAATACGTGTGTGTTTCATAACAGAGCCGTTTTCATGTGAACAGAATCACAGTGTGATGATCGAGTCGATAGGCTGTTCTGTTTCAACTGCATTAAGGAAACAAACCGGTGGCTCCTTTAAGAGATAGAGATCAGCAGGTCATATAAGGACTGAAGCTTCTGAGAAAGAGGAAGCGCATGTTTCGATGTGCTCGTAGGAGTGGTTTCATGCCCTTGTTAGTGTGCACTGCTGACACAGAGCCAAACTGTAACCTGATCCAGCAGAGCTAGAGTTTGTGCTGGAGGGTGTGTGTGTGTGTGTGTGTGTGTGTGTGTGTGTGTGTGTGTGTGTGTGTGTGTGTGTGTGTGAGTGAGTGAGTGAGTATGTGTGTGTGTGAGTGAGTGTGTTAGCTCTGAAGGAGCTGAACTACTGCATCAGAATATGTCACAGGAAACATGCAGATGTTTTCTCACATGCGTCTCACCTCAATCAGCCTCTCGAACATGTGAGCAAGAGGCAGGAAGGAAATGAGAACGTCATCTTGGTTCGGAAAGATCACCTTCTGCAGAGGCACAAATAGAAAAGGCTGCAGTTAGTCCGATAAGTGCCAGTCAACACACTGCAGAGGGGATTCGAACACAAAACACTCACATCTGTGACTTTCAAGAAGCCGGCGAAGTCTGCGACGACGTTCCCGTGCGTCAGCATCACTCCCTTCGGGTTTCCTGAAGGACAAACACACACGAGTCAAGCCAGAGCGGCCCAGTATTGTGCAGACTATTAAAGAGGTGACGTCACATTACTCTGCGTTAGATCACACTGCGTTATTCTCTTCACTAGCGCTCGGTGTCTTTACATCAGCTGCTGTTTTGTTGATTTGAGTGAATGTAAGAGGAGAACTAATGAAGTCACTCTCTAATAGATTTAAGCCACTTGGCCATAGAATCTTGCTCTATGGCAAAGGCATTACAGATATAACAGGCCCATACGGCAAAAATATATATTTCAAAATGGCCAAAATATATTTGCTAAGATATGGTTAAAAATATATTTACGTAAACATATTTTCTACCAATATATGTTTTGGCCATTTGGTATTTTTGTATATTTTTGAAAATATATTTGAAAAATATATATTTGCCCTCAGTATATTTCACCTCACATTCCAAGCAAACCTTAATTTGTTGTCTACAACATGTGTGAACACTTTTGAATAAAAATCTGCAAGAACATACTTAAAATAAAATATTACAATATATGTATACATACATATATAAAAATATTAAAATGAATATAAAAATACATTAAAATAAAAATATTATTTTTTTTTTTCATTTCAAGCAGTCTCATTTCCCCCAGTTTAGAATTGACTGAAATCAAGATTGGTAATGTATTACCCCTGAAATACATTCTGAAATGTATTTTGGTATATAAAGTTTAAAACTAAATTTATATTTTAGGTTCAAAAATGTATTTCATTGAGCTTCAATATCTTCAACACGGGATGTTTTGTGTTAAAAGTGTGGAACTACATTCAGACAGAAGTGAGAGATCAGTAATTCTTCCTCGTTCACTCCCTTCAGCTCTTCTGAAAATACTCTGAATTCTTAAGCGCTCTTGAGATAAACTCAAGGACAAGAAGGGAGGAAAGGAGCATCAGGACTCCTGAGAAGCGTTGGATCAAACGCATGAGAATGGACAGTTATACGTGTGAGGATTATGAACTATCTGAGGAGTGTCACACACACACTCTCTCACACACACACACACACACACACACACACACACACACACACACAAAAACACACACACAC